GTGCTACTAGGTGTATTAACATACACTCTGAAGCTTGCGTGTAGAAGTTCCCAGAAGCATTTTCAATTATAACCATAGTGTAAAGCACCACTTTCAGAATGTTTTAGAGAAGTTTGTTTCTGAATTCTTCTGTTTTAGGGGCAGGCCTTCACACATATACTTTCCAAACAAGATGGTATTGCTATTTATAAGAGTGTAGCACCATTAGCGTACATGGCACTTCAGAGTACAAGAGGACTGGTTTCTTTACCTGAGGAACTTATTTAACCAGTGAGCTTCCTTTTATTGGCTAGGATCCAGTATTGGCTAGGATTTTGGTTTCTGTGGGACCAGATACTATGTACAAGTTGTCTTTGAAACTAAACAGCCTTCACATCTGCCTGCCTACCCTTGTGCCACATTGTATCCTACCCAAACTGCATGAGTGATTTTTCAGGTAGCTAGAGGAAAAGGAAAGCCTTGAAAATCCATCAATTATAATACAATTTTCTGTGTAGAGGCTTTTACATTCTAGTCATTATAAATTACTTGGTCTTTAAAATACGATGATGATGGGAAAGGGAATTGATAGTTTGGAATGCTAATAATATGTCTATTTTATGCATTTATTTATTACATTTCTATATTGCTCAATAGATGAAGTGCTTCACAAAACTTAAAAATAAAGCAATATAATAAAACATAACATAAATAATAGCATAAAAATATTTACATGTGTAACACAGAATGAAATAAAAGTAAAAGCAAATAGCAATGTAGATGTTTTAACCACAGCTCATTTTTAATCAGAAAAACTAATAGGTTTGGAAAGATCCTCTTGTCAGTAGCCATCCACTTCACTGGGCACCTGAAAGAAGGCCTCTGAAAATTATTTTAGGGTAATTATATATGCAAAGTGACAAACTTTCAGGTAATTTTTAGTGCTTTAAAAGTTATTACAAGCACTTTGGGATGAAAAAGGGGACTTGAAACCAATGAAATTTGCTGGGGGATGCTTTACTTAATGTAGGTAAATTTAAACCTTTCTCTTTTCCATCCTAACTTGAATGAGGTATAGATTAAAGTATATGCAAACTAAAGTGTCTAGTTCATACTCAGTTAAATGGTCAAAACACCATTTATCATATGAATACCACACCTTGAGTTGCCAGGAAGAATGGTAAATCATTATAGGAACCAGAGTATTCATATAATATACTCCTGGTACTCAGTCCAGACTGGGAACATGCTGTGTTTTGTAGTAGCTGTTGTTTTATAAATGGAGATCTCAGCATCCTCATTCCAGAAAGAAAGACTTTATAAATGTTTTTCCCACAAACATAGTGATTCCTCTAGTTTGAATACATGAGAAAGGCTATCAAAAATTATGTGAGACTGATTTCAAGCATCTCACTTTTGTTCATCATTCCTATTTTCAAAATTCCTCCAATATATGAGCTGAGATTGTTGTTTGATTCATATTCAGTATTTAGGGTGCTATCAGCTTTTGAGTCAAATATTTCTAGGTTCCTTCCTTTTTATTGGGCCTATTCATTAATATCAGCCTTAATGTCATTAACATCACTATTAACAATTTGGTCGTGTTGGAACTTTGGTACCTGGTTAGCACTGGAGTAGCAGTTGCTGTTTATTTATTTGGGATATTTCTAACCCATCCAATCACTGTGCATCTCTGAATGGCTTACAAAACAGGTATAGATTGCTATAATAGACTAACTCAGAAATATTGGGAGCTAAACAGATTTCCATGTCGTTAATGCTCCATTTCTCTTAGCTTTAAATCACAGCTATTGAAGCTTTGTCAAAACATTCAAGATATGTTGACAATGAGTTAAGCAGAATGGGTGTAGAACTGTTTGCTGCACATAGTCTAGCTTTGTCCAGATAAGTTATATTTGATATGTTTGAACTTCATTATACTGTTGTTTTTTGTCCCAGTTGTTATTGGTCACTCTGTGAAAAATAATACTTGTCAAATGATTTAATTCAAAAGGGTCATCTTTATTAGTTTCACTTACAGTACAAATCTTATGCATATCTACTCAGATGTACATCCCCTTGAACCTGGGGACATATTTTCAGGTAAGTATATAGCAAAGATGGACAAGTCATCGGCTCCTTGCAGCCACCATCACCTCACTTCTTCCAATCATCACCACCATCACCACCATCATTTTAATTTCAAGGGGAAATAGCATCTTTAGCAGTTGCAGGGCACCAAAAGACCAAATTGAGCTTGCAGAAAGCCTAATTTGCCCCTTTGTGGGCTCTGTAGCTCACACAGTGTCTCCAAACCACTGAATTTCTGTTACATGGAGTAGCTTGCTGCTAAATTTTAATAGCAAACCAGTTATTTTCCCCCTCTTTGTGCTTTCTTTTGTAGTTCCCCATGGACTGTGGTCCTTAAACCCCGTGAAGTTGCCAATCCCAGTGTATGGGATTGCAGCCTCTGTGTGGTTACTCCAAGATACATATTTTAGATTTGAAATTATGTTTAACTAAGGCCTGACTTAGATAATTATAAAAACAGCAATATCCAGTGTAAGATCCTTTGTCTCCTAGTTGTCATGGATACATGCATCATCTGTTGGAAACACAATTATATAGTTAAAAGGTGCTGTGCATGTGATCATTTACACTACATTTTCAGAGTCATGAGTCTACATACACAGCTCCTGTTGCTTGATGAGGATCTGTGCATGCAGTTCCAATGGTTAAGTATTGTCAGCCTGTTCATAGGAGAAGGAAATTAATCAAGTTGACTTATCACTTGCTTAAAGCAGGTGACTTGGTCCTTAACCATTTGATGAGAAGGCAGGTAGAGAACGCTGGTACATCTAGGTGTGTGCAGGCAGTTGTATATGAATATGCTTGGATTAGAGTTAAAGCTTGAAAAACTTAAGGGTTCCTCAAAGGCCAGTCATTTTTACATTTGATCTTGAAGATTGTCAGGATTTTGAAAAATGTTCCTATTCTGGGAACACTATTATGTTTTCCTTGTTGAATACTGTACTATTCCCAAAACTATCTATTTGCAGTCTGAAAGTCTTCTTACCCTCTTGCAAACATTCTTGAGAAAGTTGCAGTGCTGAGGTATGTTGCTGAAATTGATATATGAATTTAATATAGAAATGTTTATTCCTTCCTTAATACCATAATTTCAATAATGTTCATGATAAAAGATTGCCTTCCATAAGAATAAAAACTGTACCTGTCATCTTCAGCGCTACTTTTTGCCATGTTATTGCCAAGTTATGTATACAGGCTTCCCTCGAGTTATAGAACGTCTGAGTTATGCATATTTACCAAAGAATTGCCATAAAGCCTATTGATTAAAAATTGCAGAAAATTGTCATCACCATAGAGAGAGAGGGTGCAAAAAGGGAGAGAAGGGGGGCTTCCAAAGCATGTCTTCCTGCCTCAACCATCAAGAGAGGGAAATCTCTCTGGCATTTCTTTGCTGCAAAGAGGAGACACTGGTGAGCTTGCAGGGAGAGTAGAGATATTCACAACTTTTCCTTTTTCATGGGACTCCTTCACTCATAATCCCTGCAAATGTGGAGGGCCAACTCAACATGATCCAACTTAATGAGTAATTTCCATTATCTCAGAAACAGAACTCGTTCGTAACTCGGGGACAGCATTTACTTGCTTTGCATCTAAAATAACATATATCGAGAATTATTTCACTTAAAACTAAAGAATATAATAGCTTCTTATGAGAAAAAACCAATCAAAAATAATCTTGGTGGTATTTTAGACAAAACACAGAGGCTAACAAAGATTTGTGTTCTTTCTTCCAAGAGTTACTTGAAATTATCCTATCATCTCCTGTGATCAGAAGTCCTGAAGTACACTTAATGATCAAACACTACAGTCAGGTTCTAAATTATTTGTATCCTCTGCAGATATTGCACTTAAGACATTTAGGTCTCATTGAAAAGCAGTCAATATTGTTGACTGTTCTATTATTGATGTAATAATCTATTATTTCTTAAATTTTTGTTTCTTGTATAGGAATGAAAAGTGAATTAATTGCCATTGTATCTTCCAGCTGAGCTTTCTAAAATGAAAATGTTACATAGTGATAATACTATTTTAAACCAATATGTGAACTTGGTCAGATTTGGATTCGTATCCATAAATTAATATTTCCCAAGGAATGCTACTTGTAGAAGCATTTTCATTTTCACTTTCCTTTGTAAAATAAATTCAGATTAGATCACTGGTTAGTGACAGAAAATGTTTGCTGCTGAGAAATAGGAATACTTTTCTGTGTGATGGCAATCCCTTTATTTGATCTGTTACCTTGTCTTTCCTAGGATAGACAGTATTGCTCTCAGATAATGTTTCCAGGCACTGTCTGAAGTTTTGATATATATGAGACATGGAGTCCTAAGAATTTTCAGTTATGATTAATGCACTGTAGAAAGTAGGTGCTTTTCATCCCAATAATCTTGTACTTTGGTGTGACTGTTTTCATTTAGAATTGTTGCAGAATTTGGCTTTTCCAAGATAACAAAGGCATGTTTGCTTCAGAGCATGTAACAAAGTCAACTTAAATTCTCAGTTCTAAATTGAAGCAGTATATTCCAATTGAATTTCAAAGACTTGGGCTGTGAGATTTTCTTTCTCTAGATTATACCATTAGACTTTATTCAACAGGAAAAATAGGTAGGTAAAATCCTAATCGGAACTTTATTCTCTGATTTCTGTAGAAATTAGATATTAAGTCTCAAATTGGTTCATGTTTGCAATAAAACCCTTTCATGATGTGGTTATTTAAAAACATATTTTTCTTTTAGCATGTACATTTAATCATAGACAAAATAGTGTCACATCTTAATGCCTAAATGATCAGTTACAGCATGTTAAATGCTTCCTCACACTGTAGCTGGCAGGCTGTTATACATTCTAATAGGGAAAGCTATGGCTCTTCTTCCACTAATGAAATATAAACGCCATTGTATGCTGTCCTTGGGTTGTAACTGGGCTTTAAGAGGTTTTGTACATTAATTTAACAAAAAAAAGGGGGGGGGTTACAATTTAGGATGGAAGGAGAAGAAATGTACAAAAAGTAAACGATGGTACTATAGTAAGCATCTTTCCCCCTTTTTTTCCAGACTTCCAGGACATTTCCTTATTATGCTAATTTCTCCCAAGTGACAGTTAATGATATTTTCTAACACTTTTTGGTATATATTTCTGAAAAAATCTTTAACTGAGGTGGAAGCGGGCAAGGTGGTACGCTGTGAAATTCTTGATTGACAATTCTTTTGCTTCCTGGTAGGTGGAGCCATTACGCTTAGTATAAGGACTCAGTTGTAGGCTGAAGGAAGAGGAAGACTTCTGTTAAAAGAACTGCTGGTAAGTTTGCCTTTCTTTTGTACAGATCATACAAAAGATGATGCAAAGATGCTTCATGTCAGATTGAAGATCCCTGACTATATGCCATATGTACAATAGCAATCCTGAAATGAATTTCCTTTGAATGTACTTAAAGGTGTATTCCATACAAGAGTAGTCAGTGTAATCCCTGGGCATGTAAACAGAGAGGCCTTATACATATTAGGCTGCAAGACTTACATCCATCTGCCATATTTAAGATTCAAGAAGCAGAATTTGCTTGTGCTACCTTGCACTTTAATTTATCTTGAACTTTAAGATTTCCTATGAAACCTGTATCCATATATATGAAAATTATATAGTAAATATTTAGAAGTTGAGTGTACTTGCTGGAAAGGTGTATATAGTCGATGATGATTCAGTCTGTAGCTTTATCTATATTGCATAATGTTGTCACTTCATACATAAATCCATGACTGTGGCTCTCTTTACTATAGTATATAAATATGAGACAGCAATTCTCTCTGTATCCAGTGTATCTATACATGACAGTGTAATGTGATTTGTTTCAAGTGCTAAGTATGGGTTTTCTCCATGGTGAGCAGAATCTAATCTCACCACTTTTTCTTTGATCTTATTCCCATTTTTGGTGTGTGCATGTTTCTTGCCCTATAATCCTAGGCAAATCCTGTCTTTGACACTGCATGACTTAATCACAATCAATTCTGAATGCAGTCATGCATTATAAATTGTTATTGCTTGAAGCTGACACTATAGAGGATTTCTTCTGGTATTATAGTTTTTATTGGCTGAAACTGAGTCTATTCCAACGTTCTTTTTTACTTGCTATAGTTCTATAGAGCTATAGAGACTCAGCTATGACTCAAGATAACTATGTTTAAGAGAGATGTACTTGAATATACTGATATCAGTGAAATGGGGTTTTTTTCCTCCTAATGTTAAGATTTGTTGAATTAGTTTAAGAAAACATAAAATGAGGAAGGTGACATAGTTCGATTGTGAAAGACAAAGTTGGTGTACAGCGATATAGTACTGCTGCTGCTTTATTTTCATTTTTGGTTTAAAATTATTTGGGTGGTAGCTAACTAAGTACTAAAGTAGAAATGAAGTTTAAGGTTTACAGATACTAGCTATAACACAGCTTCTGTTCTAAGTTCATAAAATTCCATAATACAAGTCTTCTTGAAGACAAAATTATCAGCTTGATGCTTTCCAAATATCTAAGAAAATATGTGCTAGTTTGCTGGAGTAAGTACAGGTTGTATCGTTGAAATCTTTCTTGAAGGAAAAAAATCAAACCATACTAAACAGTCTATAATAAGATTGCCAATATTCCCAATATTGTAATGATGATAAGCTTTCATATTTATGTGAAATATGAATGTGAAACAAATGAGTAAACAAAGCAATGTACAGTTTTTTTGAGAACATGTTTCCTCTTGAACTTGTTTCACTTCAAGAAGTCACTGTAAATACAAAAATGGTCATTTGGAGAAGTACTGGCATCTGTAAATGTGTGGCCTGATTTTCAAACTATTAATACCACATACTTTTTCAGAAAGACTGAGTTAATGCCCAGGTAATTTCTCTGTTAAAGTTTGGGTCATTTAGTCTTACTCTAAAAGTATCAAAAGTTTTATCAGAGATTTATTAGAGCAAATCTTGTCCTTATAAATGACTGGGTAACCTTTTAAATCCTTGTCTTTGCCCCATATGCCTTTTTGCAACTTTCCCTCTGTAGCTGCAGCAGGCCATGCTTAGTTCATAGACTACATTTCCAGAACTCTACCAGGGTTTTGTTCACAAGCTTGACCATTTTTAATTTATTGCTTTCAGCAGTGTATTGTGTTGCTTTTATTGTCTTTGCTTTTGTATTTTAATCTGCTTGTCTGTATTGTTATTAGGAGATGTTATAACTGCTTGTGATGTGCTTAGAATGTGCTTAAAGTTGGCAGAAAATAAATAAATAAAATAAACCATCCTTGATACTTAATTTGTCTCATACAGAGGCAGATATATATATAACATTTAAATAATACAATTTTCCCTTTTTATGTATTTGGTGTATCGGTACCTCAAAAGAGGCAGCTTTTGATTGAGCACACTTTTTACCGTGAACACATTGGTTGGGTTCACACAATCATAGCCACTTAAACCACTCTGGCTTGTTGAAGCCCCAGTGTGTGCTGGCCTAATTACCTGCCTGGGCACAAGCTTGAGTCATTCGAACCTGTGCAGGAGGGCTTGCTGGAGGAGGAAACAGCCATCAGATCACTCATGGGCTGTTGTGTGAACTTGTTTATTTCCTGCTCATTTAGAAACCAAACCAGATGGGGTGTTGGATGAAACACCTGAACCCAACATTGCATTTCCTCTGCATTTTCTATATGATCCTGTTTGATTTTGATCAAATCGTACTTCACATTCTTCCCATCTATTTTATCTTCTGTGATTCTAGTCATCCCCAAACTATAAAAATCATATGTTGTCTGAACAATTCATTGAACAAATTTATCAGGTAGCATTAAAAGTGGCTGTACTTTGTATCAGAATTAGATGGAGTTCAGTGGAAAAGCAGTGGTCAGCCAATTACTAAACTGTTTACACATTGTATGTTGTATGCATTATCAGATATATTGAAAATTTGTGGAACAAAGAATTCATGGTAATTGGTTTTCTTGGATCCAATATTGGTCTCTGATTTATTTATTTATGGTAATAGAATACCTTTTCTCAAAGACAGGTAGATAGGGAAACCTAACATAAATTGAAAGCTCTGTCTAGTTTTTCTCTTGGTTGATTTAGCATTGTCACAAGAATGCAGGGTTAAGTCTTTATCACCCCATGCTGATCACATATTCATACATCAACTGTGTAGAATAGCAGTGATCACTGGGATTGACTGAAACCTTTTCTGGGTTTAGAGTTTTAGGCATGCTAAATATGTACTGCTTAAATTAACAAACCAGGAAAAAAAAGCCTGGAAATGTTGCTAGCATCAAATGGGATATGATACTAAAGATATATTTGACTTCAGTCCTTGGGATTCTTCTCTCAGTTAAAAAAGAAAACTAAAAAATGTAAACAGCAGCCCTACAGGGAAGTGGCTGGTGGACTGGAAATGTGTGGGAAGAATGGAGGTGTGACCTTTTCCCCCTGCACTGATTTCTCTCTGAAAATTGCCCCCAGCTGCTGTTTTCAGACATAATCTTCAGGGAAAACAGCAGCTGACAAGGACAGGGGTTTCAGAGGGAAACATTGCAAAGTATTGTGATAAGCCTCACCCCAGCCCTCATAGCTGGAGTTATTTTAAAAAGCACACAACAGAGAGAAACCTTTGGTTGTTGGAGTTGTTTGGCCCATTAGGCCCAGTTTAGGTATGCCTGTCTAATCACGAAGGCTTCATTCAAAATTTCAAAGTGGATATTCTGTTGAACTTTATTCTGGAGTTGCTTTTATATCTTAAATGATAAGTAGAGAACCAAAAGACGATTATATTATCTTTAGTGCTCAGTTTCTCTCCTCAGTCCACACAAGACTAAACCTGGTTTAGTCTGTGACTGCTGCTCCCCACTTAGTGCTTCATTCTCCCCATCAGTACCCCCTAGCCATCTAAGCCACTGCTGAATAGCCTATCATACTTTTCCCAGATTCCTGTTAGAGCTAAATGACTGATCAGCATGAGGTGGCTGCCATTTTAGTTTTCTACATTACACTTATGAGCTTCGCCTTACTACCATTTTTTTTTAATGAAGGGGATTTTTGACTGTGTGTGCAGCAAGAAAAACAACAGGAGAATGTTTAGTCTACTGTGTTATGATGATTAAAAAAAAGTTAGCTGTTGACAGAGAGGGTGGAGCTGCTCATCTCCTATTTTGCCTTGGTTTTCTCCCACAAAGGAAAATACTTAAACTGGAAAAACAAGAATCAAATAATAAAAGGGATGTTGTAGTCCAGGTGGGTAAAGAATGTTGGGGGTTCAGTATAAAGTTCTAATATACTGGATGTCTTATCTGGAAAGATCCAGAATAAATACTTAAGTAGTCAGTTTTTGAGACTTTCAAGCAAAGCTACTGCAGTGGCAAAGTGCCAGTACAGGTTTATTAAGAACAAGTCATGCCAAAGTAACCAAATCATCTTGTTGCTGTTGTGAGAGTGGCTAGCTTGGTAGATTGCAGGAATGCTGTGTGTATTTTGATTTCAGTAAGACTTTTGACAAAGTCCGCCATGGACAAGCTGGGGAAATGTAAACTTAGCAGCACATCTACTTGGTGAATTTAGAGCTGGTTGATGGACTATACCCAAAGTATGCTTATCACTGGTGTTGCCAGCAGTACATGGAGAAAGGACCTAGGGCAGGTGTGGGCAAATTTGGAATTCTTGGAACCAATCCTACTTCCCTTGTGCTACAAGTTGCACTTCTGCAACACTACCAGTCTGGTAGCAGATTTCCTACAATTGTAAGCAATTGGACTAGATTATTTTGCTCTATGAAGAAAATTATGTTTATGGACACCTAATGCTTGAACGGAGCTCAGTGATCCCGCAGTCCAGTAGGAAACTTGCTTGTACTCCCAGATGAGGAAATGGGCAGCAGGTCAGACTTGCATGATTTGTGATGGCTTAGCCACTTACAGGATTCATTACAGTGTAGTCTGTGTAGCACCACTGGGGGAGAGGCAGGCAAGGGTAAGCAGTCCTGTGAGTCCAGGCAACTGCCCACATATAAAATAGAAAGTGATCTGAAAATAATGCTTGGTTCATACTAATGCTATGCATTTTTATGCAACCTAGTTGGACTTTTTGCAAAATCATCATAGTCTTTGTACTTACGTTAACCCAATTGAACTGTTCCCTAGAACTATAGAAATATCAGCAAGTGGTTGAAAATTTAATGAATTGCCTAAAGCAAAAGATCATATTTTAGTATAGATGGCTACATGAAAGACTATCGCAATGACTGCCCTGAACCCACCTTTCTTCCTTTATGGTGTCTCTGC